CAAAAATGGTCAAAAACGAAAGTTGTAGCCCTACACTGTAGCTTCCCGAATCTGTTTGAATTATGTTCTGAAGTGCTCCTGTTGTGGAGATATGAGGTAAAGGAATTTCAAAAGCGTTGCGTTTTTTTTTTTTTTGTGTTTTTCTCTATGAAAACAAAACCAAATAACGTGATTTCAGTATATTCAGAAAGCTAAAAGAAAGGGCTACAATTATTGTATCGTGGGAAAAATGACCAAAAAAGGAAGGTGCATCCCGTACTACTTATAAGAATCAGATATAGACTACCAAGTTTACTGATCGACTACAAAAAAGTCGGACTTAGACTACACAGTTTACTGATACACTATAAAAGACTACAAAAGTCGAAATTAGACTACAAAGTTTACTAATACACTACAAAAGACTACAAAAGTCGAACTTAGACTACAAAAGCGTGGACTTAGACTACATAGTTAGGGTTAGAGTCAAAAGGTTATCTTGACTACAAAGTTTGTAGTGTGCCCTTTTTCATTAAAAAAGTTTGTAGTGACCGCTTTTTGAGACTACAAAAGTTGTAGTGTTGCGCTTTTTCATTGGAAAAGTTTGTAGTGTCCGCTTTTTAAGACTACAAAAGTTTGTAGTGTCCGCTTTTTGAGACAACAAAAGTTTTTAGTGTTGCGCTTTTTCATTAGAAAAGTTTGTAGTGTCCGCTTTTTGAGACTACAAAAGTTTGTAGTGTGCACTTTTTTATTAGAAGAGTTTGTAGTGTCTGCTTTTTCATTTAAAAAAGTTTGTAGTTGACATGTAGTTTATGGTGTCCTTGGCCCTATCTATGTTATGGGGATGAGGTTGATTGCCATCATATTGCCAGTGCCAGCATTAGTATTTGACATCATGCACAAGTTGTCTTTCATATTGATACCTACTGTCCTATCTCAAGACATAATTGTAAGCTCATATGGGGATATGGCTGAAGGATTGACATGACTTTACATATTGCTATTGCCACATCATCAGTTCCTCACATCATGCCCAAGTTGGCTTTTAAGCTAGAGAAGGCTATTCATGTTGATATCTACTCAATACATGGTCAACTTACAACATGACCCGTCTTCAAGACACCTCAAAGGATGAATCAGCCCATCATCCTACAGCCCTCAAAGACCTGTATCAAAGTTGACTATGTTTGGGACAGGCCAGTAGTTATCAATGTGAAAGCAGACAGCATGAAATGCAAACTTGGTCATGATGTCAAAAACTGGTCATGTCATGTCAATGAGCTGACAATTATGTCTTCAGATAGGACAGTAGGTATCAATATGAAAGACATGGAATGGCCTTTCCTAATGTGACAGACAACTTGTGCATGATGTCAAATACTAATGCTGCAGCACTGTCAATATGATGGCAATCCTTCAACCTCATCCCCATAACATAGATAGGGCCAAGGACACCATAAACTACATGTCAACTACAAACTTTTTTAAATGAAAAAGCAGACACTACAAACTCTTCTAATAAAAAAGTGCACACTACAAACTTTTGTAGTCTCAAAAAGCGAACACTACAAACTTTTCTAATGAAAAAGCGCAACACTACAAACTTTTGTTGTCTCAAAAAGCGGACACTACAAACTTTTGTAGTCTTAAAAAGCGGACACTACAAACTTTTCCAATGAAAAAGCGCAACACTACAACTTTTGTAGTCTCAAAAAGCGGTCACTACAAACTTTTTTAATGAAAAAGGGCACACTACAAACTTTGTAGTCAAGATAACCTTTTGACTCTAACCCTAACTATGTAGTCTAAGTCCACGCTTTTGTAGTCTTTTATAGTGTATCAGTAAACTGTGTAGTCTAAGTCCGACTTTTTTGTAGTCGATCAGTAAACTTGGTAGTCTATATCTGATTCTTATAAGTAAGGCTGCGACCGACGAAAGAGACGGTCTGGAAGTGTGACCGATCTGTGACGAGGCAGACAGATCTCGCCAAGAGGCCAGGGCCGGGCGGCGGCGACCCAGAAGGGAGAAAGCGCCGGGAATTCAGACGGAAATAGCTGTGTGCATAGAAAACACATTAACGCACAAAACGCATAACACACATTGAAAGCCTCGCAAACACTCAGTCAGTCCACACGTACGGCCGCTACATACACAGGCTGCTGTCGGCGGCAGGCGGATGTACACACAAACAATGGAAGGACAGAAGGGAGGGAGTGTGATGACACTTGGATGACACGTTGTGTGATCTCCGCCTTGGAACCGACATGAACGCGAGCGGCGACCCTTTGCTCAAGTCGCGTCCCAAGGATCGAAAGTCAAAGTCCGAAAGTAGGAACAAAAGTGAAGGAGGGGGAGATGGAAGGGCGAAAGGAGAAGGTTATTTGAATAAATCACAAAGTTGCATGGTATGTTTGCTGCATTGGACGGAAATACGAGAAGCTCAGGCCTTGATAACTCACCTAATCGGTTGCAGAAGAGCATTTGGGGCTTTGCATGTGAGAGCTGTGACTAGTACGACGGCAGGGTCAACTTCATCCAAGACCATTGGGGCCATTGTTGGTGTGTATCGATTGTGCTTGTGCGGGAGGAGAGGAAAACAGGCAACAAGCGCTTGTAAGGGGAGACTTTCAGCTTGAAGAGGACAAGTGGTATGAGTATCTTGGTCGATGTGTGTTATGGAATCTAATGGTACAACTTTATACTTGTAAGGGTGCACAACACGCTTCAGCCTCATGCCGACAGTAGGGGTGCCCTAGGGCTTGGCGTTCATGATCAATATCTGCTGCATGATCCCTGTCATTCACCCTGCAGCCCAAACTGAGCCAGGACCCTACAACGAGAACCGTCTTTTTCTCAAGTGCGACCGTCTTTTGAACGCAGCACATACCGAATTCCTCTGCCAAATTATTTTCCCGCGTGTTGCGAAACCATCGCAAGCCTCGAAAAAGACGGTCCTTCACCCATCAAAAGACAGTCGCCGGATCCTTACTTTGCTTTACGTGTTACATAACGGGTTCAGCACGCCTTGATCGCGCGCCCACCGATGTCGGCCTTCTACTCTATCCACTCCCACCACAATTCACATGTGGGTCACTGGAGCCCAGCACCTCCTAGCTGGCAAGATGCTGGGCTTGGTCTTTCACACTCGACACTTGTCACTCAGTCCTATACCGAAGACAGAAGTCTATTCCCAAAAATTTGAGATACCCAGTAAGTTTCTGCTCAATCGTCATGTTCTCAACCTCTAACTCATAGCATTTACTCCAGAAATCACCACTCAAAGTTGCTACCTCCTCGGCTTGGCCCTTCCCATTCGACATTCAATTCTGCGATGGATAGAGAAAGTGTATGGTGAAAAAAACAAGTTTGTCCGTCAGTCCCAGTCCGATTTTTTTGTTCTTGGTCTTGAACTGATGCCGTATTCTCTAAGAACTTGTTACCGAAGTTACGAGAAGATTGGCCTTGCTGCTCACATTAGACATCAAGATGTCGGGGGTAGAAGTTGGAACTCAGAAATTCAAGCTACTCTGTGAGTTCCTGCTCGATCTTCACGTTCTTGGCCTCTAACTGACGGTATTTTATCCAGGAAACACCCCCTCAAGTTTCGAAACATTTGGCGTTGTCGCTCACATTCGACGATCAATTCTTTGCAGAACAGAAGTCTCCACGCAGACAATGGAGGTACTCAGTGAATTCCTGTTCGATTTTCACATTCGCAGCCTCGAACTGATGGCATTTTCTCTAGGAATCACTGGCCGAAGTTACGAGATGCTGGGCCTCGCCGTTCACGTTTGGCATTCAAATATGCGGTGGAGTGGGGGGGTCCATACTCAAGAAATCAAATTACTCTGTGAGTTTCCACTAGATTTCTATGTTCTTGGCCTCTAACTGACGGCATTTGCTCCAATAATAATTACCCAAAGTTTCCAGACGTAAGGCGTGGTCGTCTTTATTCACTATTCAAATATGTGGGAGCTGGAAGTTCATACTCAGAAAATCGAGCTACTCAGTGAGTTCCCGCCAGATTTTTATATTCTTGGCCTCAAACTGACGGCATTTGCTCCAGGAATCGCTACCTAAATTTGCGAAACGTTATGCATCGTCCTTTTCATTCAGCATTCAAATATGTGGGGGTGGAAGTCCCCATGCGGAAAATCGAGCTACTCCGTGAGTTCTTGCTCGATTTTCACGTTCTCGGCCTCTACCTGACCGCATTTTATCTAGGAACTGTCACCCGCATTTGCGAGACGTCAGGTGTTGTCGCTCACATACGACGTCCCATTCTCTGGGGTGGAAGTCCACATCCGGAAAATCAAGCAACTCTGTGAGTTCTTGCTCGATTTTCGCGTTGTCGGCCTTTAAATGACCGAATTTGCTCTAGGAATCGTCACCCGGATTTGCGAGACATCAGGCATTGTCACTCACATACGACATCTAATTCTTTGGGGGACAGAAGTCTACACACAGACAATCAAAGTACTTCGTGAGTTCCTGTCCGTTTTTTATGTTCTTGGTCATAAACTGACGGCATTACCTCCAGAAATCACTGGCCGAAGTTGCGAAATGCTGGGCCTCGCCATTCACATTTGGCATTTAAATATGTGGTAGAGTGGGGTCCACACTCAGGAAACCAAGCTATTCGGTGAGTTCCTGCTCGATTTTTACGTCCTCAATCTCTAACTGACTGCATCTACTCCAGAAACCGTTCACCAAATCTGTGAGATGTTAGGCGCGGCCGTTTTGATTTGGCATTTTCAATATGTGCGGGGGGTGGAGGTCCACACCCGGAAAATTGAGCAACACTGTGAGTCCTTGCTCGATTTTCACGTTCTCGGCCTCTACCTGACTGTATTTGCTCTAGGAATCGTCACCCGGATTTGCGAGATGTTAGGCATCGTCACTCACATACGACGTCTAATTCTTTGGGGGACAGAAGTCTACACCCAGACAATTGCAAGTACTCTGTGAGTTCCTGTCCGTTTTTTATGTTCTTGGCCTTGAACTGACGGCATTACCTCCAGGAATCACTGCCCAAAGTTGCGAGATGCTGGGCCTTGCCGTTCACATTCGGGATTTAAATATGTGGTAGAGTGGGGTCCACACTCAGGAAACCAAGCTATTTTGTGAGTTTCTGCTCAATGTTTTCGTTCTCAACCTCTAACTGACTGCATTTACTCCAGAAACCGTTCACCAAATCTTTGAGATGTTAGGCGCGGCCGTTTTATTTGGCATTTTCAAATATGTGCGGGGGGTGGAAGTCCACACCCGGAAAATTGAGCAACACTGTGAGTCCTTGCTCGATTTTCACGTTCTCGGCCTCTACCTGACTGTATTTGCTCTAGGAATCGTCACCCGGATTTGCGAGATGTTAGGCATCGTCACTCGCATACGACGTTCAGCTCTCTGGGGGACAGAAGTCTACACCCAGACAATTGCAAGTACTCTGTGAGTTCCTGTCCGTTTTTTATGTTCTTGGCCTTGAACTGACGGCATTACCGCCAGGAATCACTGCCCAAAGTTGCGAGATGCTGGGCCTTGCCGTTCATATCTGGCATTTAAATATGTGATAGAATGGGGTCCACACTCAGGAAACCAAGCTATTTTGTGAGTTTCTGCTCAATGTTTTCGTTCTCGGCCTCTAACTGACTGCATTTGCTCCAGAAACCGTTCACCAAATTTTCGAGACGTTAGGCGCAGCCGTTCTTATCTGGCATTCAAATATGTGTGTGGGGGGGGACTCAATACTCGGAAAATTGAGCTACTCTGTGAGTTTCTGCCCGATTTTCACGTTCTTGGCCTCTAACTGACATCATTCACTCCAGAAATTGTTACCCAGATTTTTCAGACGTTAGGCGCAGCCGAATCAAATATGTTGGGGCAGGGGAGTTGATACCCAGACAATCGAGTTACTTGGTAAGTGCTTGCTCTATTTTTACGTTTTTGGCCTTTAACTGACCATGTTTGCTCTAGGGATCGGCATTGTATTCATTCTCCATTAATCTACAAAGGCACGGCCAGGCAAACGCAAGGCCTCTGTCCTTGACAACGACCAACTGGCAACCAAGCCGATTTATTGTGATTGACGCGGAGGTATGGATAGGAGGTGCAGGTTTGTATATGAACCTGTTTCAGTGCTCTCTCCGTGTATATATAGTATGACTAGCAATGCACATTCGACACCTCCCCAATTTCTATCATGGCTGACAGCCACCCTTCACTACTTGCTCGCAACTTCAAAGTGCTCAACATCCAGTTCCAAAATGGAGATGACAGAATTACTGAAGAAGAGATTGATGAGGATCTCGAGGGAGAACAGGGCACAATTCCTGACCTTGTTGCAGCTGATCTTGAGCCAGGAAATCATGAATTTATGAAGAAATGGAAAGCATCTGTTTTTGGAGCTTCAAGAGGTGTTACCGACAAGACAGAAGCTGAATACCAGCGGTAAAGACAAGAAGAAATCACATCAGTGCCCCCCGCTCACGTTCTGCAGACTTAAGGAGCAATGCGCCACCTTCTTGATAAATTCTGGCCTCATCAAGAGTTCCTCAGAGCTCTTTTGCAGCTCCCCCCCAGTGGATGCTCCTTTCTGGATCTGCTCCTGGATTATGAGCAAGTCCGTCCTTTCATTTTATTGACTGCTTCTATCTTGCTTGATGGGCTGAACCTTGAATTTTTGCTAACAGATGTGACGAAATCACACTCGATGGTAAACATCGTCCACATAATGAGTTTCGGGACTCCTATGCTCAGGCTCAAAAGATGCGAGCCGCAATGACCCATGTATTTACGCGTGACTACAACCTTGGATCAGTGCAGTGGCATGAGAGTGAACTGGTCCCTGGACGCATGATGGGCAATCCCTCTGTTTCTTCCGAAGTAGCAAATTACATGTCCGGCCTTCGGCGTCGAAAGGTGATTTAGTTCCCATACTACGCTTGAACATATCTAAACTCATCTCATTAATTCATTGTAGGTAAAAGCCGGAGAGACACCAACAAGTGCTCGAGCAATAACCTCTGTTTGTCTCTCAAAAACTGGATCTCATGATCTAATTGATTTTTAGAGCATTCTGGAGGATCTGTATGACTACAATCACCTCCCGGAGAACTGGAAAATTCATCCCTACACACCTCTTTCTCGCCAAGATGCTGGAAGGCTCCATGAGTGGGGTGGTGGACTTACACGACGAGCACTCCAAGCCATTTACACAATTGCATTTCTGTGTTTGCTCAGGGTGGATGAGGTTCTTAAAATAACAATGGCAGATATTGAAATGTCCAAGGATCGCATGACTTTGACGTTGCCATATCGCAAAACGCATCAATACGGAGGTGTGTATTGAAATTAATTCCTTTCAACTCCTAACATTTTAATGTCTGATTAGAAATAAAGCCATTTCACTTGTATCGTCTCGAAGAAGAAGATGCTCACCTTTGCCCTGTTCGAGCGCTTTCTGACTGGATCGACGCTGCAGAGATAACTGATGGATATGTTTTCCGAAAGATTGGCTCAGGAGAAAGACCTGTCGAAAGCAACACCCCGATGGTCAGTGATTTCTTTTTTCCATGTGAAATGTACCAAGTTTTTCGCCAGACATCAGAACAGTTCCTGGAGTTATTCAGAAACAACCTTCTCGACATAAAGGTTGATCCAACCCCCTATGGAACCCACTCGTTCAGGCGTGGTGGCTGTCAATACTTGGCAGGAGAGCGGCGATGGCTCCTACGCACTATTTGCGAGTGGGGTGGCTGGAGCACGGAGTTCTCCAGTATGACAATTGTAAAGTATTTGATCTCGTGGAACGACAATCCCACAGAACAACGCGAGGACTACTTTAACCCAGCGCGGAAACCAGCCACCAAGTGCTTTCGTTGCGGGAGAAGTTGCCATTGCGCTTGAACTTGAAAATTCAAAACAAATAGATATGGGAAGGACAATGATCATGAATTACGGAGGTGTCAACTAATTACAAACGGACATATGTATACTATTATCAGTTAATCTAACCTACTCATCCTCATCATCCGATTCTAATCCCTCCCCTGCTATTCCCTTCAGCTGTCGGTACCGCTTGGCGACGTGGGAAGATCTGACCATGGCATGGGTCACCCCACCCTTCCGGTACGAAAAGAAAGCAGGGAATGTGGTGCCATACTCATCTCTAGCCTGCCGGGAAAGTGCGTTGTCTGCTGCAACCCGTTGCTGAGCCAACTCTGCAATGATCCTCGTAAAGTTCATTCTCTCCCCATCCCTCGTAAACTCTTCCCAAAAGCTCTCTGGAGTGCCCTGACGATAGCGGTGCACCATGATCTGAAAATTAAATTAGACAAGCTTGCAAAGTAAGAGTTTTGTTACCAACCCTCCACTTGAACCATTTGTCTTTGGTTCCCCGGCACTGGCCAGGTTTCCAATGCTCATTCTTTCCCCTCGAGCTCTTGTACACATTCCTCCAATACACAAGAGCGATCGGGCGGCCGCAGATGACCAACGGAGATACATTGTCCCAATTTGATGATGTGTCGTCCCACATACGGTTGAGTCCTGCGATGTCATGTGCAAACGAGATGATGGGTGGTGCCTTGACATCGGCCGCCGTGAAAGTAATCCGTGTCATGTCACCCAAAACGAGGGTGCGTGTGATAACCGCATCAACAGATGGGACAGTGTCATTGACTTGCACTGGGAGAGGGACAGCTGCGTTGGACAAGCTCGCCGTTGTGTGCATGGTGAAAACGGGTGCAACGCCGTGTTCAGATGGTGCTGGATCCATAGAAGAGTGTGCCGGAAGGGTGGTGAGCAAAGAGAGGGGAGACAGGGCCGTCGTTCGGTTGTTGGCTGGGTCAACGATGTGTGAGAGGAGCTGATTGAGCTGACAGCTCGTATATTCGAGCGTCGCTTGGAGAGCAGGATCCGTATTCGTCTTGAAAAACATATCATTAGCAAAGCAATGTCATGAGGGCGGGTATCTCTTCCATACCGATCGCTCCAACAGCGCCCTTTGTGCAGCCATCCTTCGCCTCTCCTCCCTAGGACGATACGGATTCTCCTTGACAATCGTTCGGGCCTGCGTCACAGTGAGCTAACAGGTAATACATATGGATAAGACAAGTAGTTACCCATGTGAGGATCCTGTCGCGCTCCTCCTGTGTTTGCTTTGGCTGTAAGTTCTCAGTTGGAAGAACGTCGGCGTTGGGTGCTCGAGCCACTGTTGAACCTTGACCAAACATGGCTTCGGTCCTTCGTACTGATTTCTTCTTTAACGTTGTCCTCGATGATCCACCGAGGTGTGCTCGGCGTGCTGCAGGGATGGTTCTGGAAGGGGCATCAGCAACGAAGAGCAACCAGGTGTGGACTCACTTGTTCCACTCCTCCTCGTGCTCACTGTACCACACCAACTTTTCGCGCAGGCTCGCCATGTTTCCAGAATGCGGGAGGCGGAAGCGCTTGCACCACTCTACTAGCATCGGCTTCTTGACGCCAGGACCATCACTGGTCAGACCGATATGTGAACAGTCTGCCATCCAGCGGAAAGAGAGCGAGAGAGACACTCACATGCACATGAACCGCTTCTGCCTCTTTCCATCCACAATCGGTCCAGGTAATGGGATGGTCAAGCCCTGTGTTGTCCCATGTTTCGAAGCATGTCGAGAACCAGGCAAGGGGGTCGAGTCAACATCCATAGCGTTCCCATCAGCATCCCCGTCAATGTCCATCATTTTGAAACCCAATCCTCGGTTGCTATAAAGCACCACGAAGCACGCCAACAGTCCGACTGCAAATATGAAGAGGCAGCGCAGCGTCAGATAGTTGTGCGCGGTTTCTGAGGCTGGTGCTTGGGCTGCGATCGATTTCGGGACCTTGAAACAGAGGCCGCCGTCGGGGAGGCCATTGTGGGTGCCCCACCACCAGATCGATCTGAAAACGCAATAGAGATGAGCACGCGAAACGGCGGTGAGCGACGGAGGAGACGAAAACAAGGGCAAAGGGCGTGACGGGCATCACCCAAAGGGGACGAAGACGGTACTGGAGCCGAGCAACAGTTCACACCCTGACTTGGCGCGCGTCGGCGCTTGCCGGGTGACAGGACCGTCTGTTTCCCGAGAGAAGTAGTACGGGATGCACCTTCCTTTTTTGGTCATTTTTCCCACGATACAATAATTGTAGCCCTTTCTTTTAGCTTTCTGAATATACTGAAATCACGTTATTTGGTTTTGTTTTCATAGAGAAAAACACAAAAAAAAAAAAAACGCAACGCTTTTGAAATTCCTTTACCTCATATCTCCACAACAGGAGCACTTCAGAACATAATTCAAACAGATTCGGGAAGCTACAGTGTAGGGCTACAACTTTCGTTTTTGACCATTTTTGGTAATTGGTCATGTGACCACCCTCCAGGGAAGCCTATTGCATGGACCCATGACATGTGGGATACATTTGAAAAATCACAATGAAATGCCCAGGGCTACATTTGAAATTTTGCAATGAAATACCCAGGGTATCTATTGAAAAATCCCAATGAAATACCCAGGGATACATTTGAAAAATCGCAATGAAATACCCAGGGTATCTATTGAAAAATCGCAATGAAATGCCAAGGGATACATTTGAAAAATCGCAATGAAATGCCCAGGGATACATTTGAAATTTAGCAATGAAATACCCAGGGTATCTATTGAAAAATCGCAATGAAATACCCAGGGATACATTTGAAAAATCGCAATGAAATACCCAGGGATACATTTGAAAAATCGCAATGAAATGTGGGATACATTTGAAAAATCACAATGAAATGCCCAGGGCTACATTTGAAATTTTGCAATGAAATACCCAGGGTATCTATTGAAAAATCCCAATGAAATACCCAGGGATACATTTGAAAAATCGCAATGAAATACCCAGGGTATCTATTGAAAAATCGCAATGAAATGCCAAGGGATACATTTGAAAAATCGCAATGAAATGCCCAGGGATACATTTGAAATTTAGCAATGAAATACCCAGGGTATCATTTGAAAAATCGCAATGAAATACCCAGGGATACATTTGAAAAATCGCAATGAAATGCCCAGGGATACATTTGAAATTTCGCAATGAAATACCCAGGGTATCTATTGAAAAATCACAATGAAATGCCAAGGGATACATTTGAAAAATCGCAATGAAATGCCCAGGGATACATTTGAAATTTAGCAATGAAATACCCAGGGTATCTATTGAAAAATCGCAATGAAATACCCAGGGATACATTTGAAAAATCGCAATGAAATACCCAGGAATACATTTGAAAAATCACAATGAAATACCAAGGGATACATTTGAAAAATCACAATGAAATACCCAGGGTATCTATTGAAAAATCGCAATGAAATGCGCCAGGTATCCATTGAAATTTTGCAATGAAATATCCAGGGATACATTTGAAAAATCGCAATGAAATGCGCCAGGTATCCATTGAAATTTTGCAATGAAATATCCAGGGATACATTTGAAAAATCGCAATGAAATGCCCAGGGTATCTATTGAAAAATCGCAATGAAATATCCAGGGCTGCATTTGAAATTTTGCAGAAAATGCGCTGGGTATCTATGGAAAATTCACTATGAAATACCCAGGCCTACATTTGAAATGCCTTTCAAAAAATCCTAAGCATTATAGATATGGCCTCTAGGCTTAAGTCTAAGTTATAGAAATGACTCTCTAGGCTTAAGTCTAGGTTATAGATAAAAGTGGTAGCCACCAGTCGAACCTGACACCTTGACTTTCACTTGCTGCGGGGATACGCACAAGTTCAGGTCTCGTTGTAGGAATCATAGACTCTCTAGATGAGACGGAATCAGGTCTATCCGTTGGTTGGGCATCACGGGATCGATGTATGGAGAATGCTTTAGGGATAGGACGATCCTTGTAGGCTCGGTCGCGCAAATATGCAGCAGTCTCTACTAAGTCTTGAGGCATTCTACTAAAGTACTCAGGTCTTGCAAGCAGTTTGCCAGCTTCCTTCCTGGCAGATCCACTGCCGAATACGGATCGTAGTGATGCTCTAGTCGATTCGTAGGAGCTGACCGACATTTGATCTGTGTCTGATCCATACATTTTGGTAATGGCGTTGATCTGTTGCACCAGGTGTTTCGAAGCTACTGTGGTTCGATATTGAAGTACTCGATAGGTGGCTAACACTTGAGTCCTACTCGTATGAGACGCTATAAGGCGTAGAAAAGCAAATTGCTGGTCCAAGACGAAATGTTCTCGATCTCGTTTGTGGAAGAATTCCGCTAAAGTTTGTAGTACTTGATCGACGGTCACGACAACTTGAGAGGCTTCTAACAACAGAGTACGTTCGACTCCGTGAGTGACACTTTGTCCGGTATGCCTTACCAGGTCTTCCTTGCTGATTTCGTATTCAGCAAATTTCCGAACGGCTGAGCCTAAGTTACTCCAACGAAGATCCTTAGGAGTGTTGTAGATTAGCTCGATAGCACACCTCAAACGATCACTTTCGTCTTTCGTACTGCCCGGCATGATTCCGTCTATCGCACCTAGAGATACAAGGACATCTTCATCGATGGATTGGTCGAATTTGCCGAACATACGTTCTGTCGATTTGATGATAGGCTCAGCCCAAATGGGAATGTTCTGGGCTGTGTCTATATCCCAGAAGATAGTTTGGGGTTCGGACTCTTCGCGCTCGATAGAAGCTGTGTATCGTCCTCTTCTTCCTTCAGTGCGGCTCGAGGAGTAGTGTTTGAAAGTCCGGTTAGGTTAGGTTATTGGGTGCCCAGGGGCTCTAACCGAGACCGAGACCGGTTAGGGTTTGTTCCCAGACCCAAAATAACCTAACTGGACCGAAGATAACCGATGAAAACCGGTTAGTTGCAGTTACTAACCGGTTAGGACCGAAAAAATAGAAAATCGATTAAAACGGCGTATACTTTTCATATTTCTTGCAGTAAACATTATTGCCATGCGTCGTAGCTTTAAAACAAGCCCAAGAACGCTAAATTCGGTGAAGAATTGACAATTTTATAATAATATTCTTGAAAGCCTACTATTTTAGCCAATAATTTAGAGATTTGACCATAACTCTGTCAGATTTTTAGCGTTTCTCATGCTTTTAGATGCGTTTTGAAGGGGTATAATAGGGTCGGTTGTAACCGGTCATAACCGGTTTTTTAACGGTTAGTTAACCGCAAAATAACTGGTTATTTCATTTCCAGAATTGACTAACCACTAACCGCGGTTTACTCTCCAATTGGTGAGTGGCAATAATCTCCATCCAGCAATCGACTCCGCGTTCAAATTGGCCGATTCTAGGGTTTTGACTTGCATCTCTGCTTGGATTCGTGTTTTTGCTAGTCGATCCAGTTCCGTCTCTTTCTGTTTCTTTCGTTTCAGCGCAGCGGTGGCCGCTGTGGATGTCAATGCACACAACCTCTCGTCAGGTCGTCACTCTCAAATTGGTGAGTGGCAAAATTCTGCATTGCTCCTTATTTCTACAATTTTAATGAAGTGGCGTTTGTAGATAAGGGCTGTTTGTGGGAAGGAAGGGGGAGGTGTATCATGTTCAGTGGAGGGACGAGCCGAATTGGGTGATTTGCTATGGAATACGGCTAGTACGAGGTCTGCGGCGTTCGCTTTTCCGGTCTACTACATATGTGTTACGTAGGTACAACGTAAGTGGTAGTACTAGCATTTGACGCGTCTGGTTTTGACGCGTTTGATGTGCACGTGATGCCATTAACAACGTGATTGGTGTTTGGGATCAATCACCGTTTTTCCGTTCCGTTACTTTTCAACTCCTCCATCTTCTTCATCCACGATAGAGTGCGCCAACGAAGAAGTTCTTCAAAACAGTGAGTCTTCCTTTTTGTGTTTTTTGATTCTGGAACTCGACTCCTTGTCGTTCCATGGGATTGGGTGGATTTTGACTCCTTGTTGATCCACCTTCCCACCTTCCTGAGTTCGACTCCTTGTCACTCACTCTTGGTTCACTTTGCCGCCGAATACACGTTAATCTGATCTTTCTTAGGCGTTGGCGTCCATCTGGTTTTATATTCCGTTTCCGTGCCATTCATCCGTAACCGGTGAGTAATGTATGTTCGCGTATACTTATACTCATACTGAACATGGTCCTCAGCTTTGTTACTTGGGTCTTCCCAACCACGTCTGCCTCTGGCTTAAACAGCCTCTCTCCCGCATCCCGCCACCCACCCGTGTACTATCAATTGGACTCTGATCGGTATGTAGTCTTCTCCTGGATCTCGTATGCTTGAGCGCGGAATTTGACTCCTTGTCGTTCCGTTGGAGGATGTACATCTTGACTCCCTGTCGACGGACATCCTCCAATCGTGTTTGACTCTCTGTCGCACGACATTTCTTCAACTATCTATTCTAGAAATGCATTTCTAACAGGATTACTAGCTATGGCGTCTACTTCTCCAACTTCGAAACCGTACTATAAGGAATACACGCGTGAAGGAGATCGCAAATTCTGCGCGACGGACGCTTATTGCTGGAATGTATTGGATCATCAGGTTCGGACGAGGGAGGTTGTGAGTGAGGCCGGGATCAACACATTCATCGAACATCCCGACAAGGGCGACCCCCCATCCTGGTGGGTCATTACTACTCCGAACGTGGGCTACATCCTGACCGCTCCCATTGGCATTCATCATATTCAAGCGAAGGCGGATGGCCGCTTTGGACTGGACGACCGCACCCTCCACCCCCAGATGTACATCAAAGGTTTTGAGTATATCTGCTGCATCCCCATACGCGATCAGTCTCGCCACATGTTGTGGTGGACACCCTCTCCCGAAGATTGCCCTATCATTCCCAATTCGCCTTTCTCAGTCACTATTCGTGTACTCAAGCCGGATTTGTTGAACGGGTACAAGGATCTTCACGACAAATATGTTGGTCTGATCGGTAAACATGAGGGATGCGACCGCTCCCCTCTCGCGGGTCTTTTGGTCACTGCGATGTGTCAAGCTCTCAATAGGCTTCGTTCGTTTGGGATGACCTACAAGGAGATACTACTGGCCATCACAGAGTTCCAAAGAGCGGTCTTGGACATACACGCGTGGATCGATTTCGTTGACGTTTATCAACCACTTCTTTTTCCTGGTCCCAATGGTGTGGTCAAGTACGACGCCAATCAGAAGTTGATGGGAGCATTTACAGAAAAGGTCCAGGTCGCTCAACAACTCCAGGTGATGGGAATCCCCGTGTGGTTAATCCGCCCATCATTCTGTATCCTCCCAACCATGAATGTCAACTTCTCAACCCCCTAGCTACATTGCTATAAGATTGTTCTGCACCATTTCAAGGATGGGCATGGCAATTTAGATCCATACCCTGTTCTCGCGACTGGTCCGCCATCGACCGAACTTTACAGGTGGACCCAACGTATAGGCTGCGCGATCATGGATCTTCAAGACGTCACTGCAATTGGTCGACAGGATTTTATCGAAGGAAAAGCCAGTATTGGAGGAGGTCGTGATGCATGTATGTTTCCAGCTTGTAATGAACAACCTACT